TAGGAATGCAAGGCTCATTTGGAGACGAAGAAAGCAGTATTTAAAACATGATGAATTTCTAAAGCCTACCACACTCTTCTAATTATAAGTGGAATCCATAATAAATTAACCTTTGTTATCAAATGTCACTGAGGGGGGAATATCACATGGCATCAGCTGGCAGCTGGCTTGCTGCTTGCTTTGCTTTTGTGTCTGAGTTCGTTTGACTTCCTTCATGAATATTTAGGATGGATTTGCCTGGACGAACAGCAGGTTATGCATGTGTGCAAAGAACACACATGTGCACATGCGGCTTTTATGTCGGAACCAAGAGGTCTTTCTTCTCAAACGTGACATAAAAATGTCAAAAGAAGAGAGATTTCTTCCAGACGAGGAGTAAAAACTATCAAGTTTTGGCTAATGCTTCCCATTCATTAAGCTTTAGGTTCTTATTATTTGTGTGTATCTAAGGTGTTTGTGTACTTGTAGATTTTTTAAGTTACATTCCTCAGTGTAGAATGACACTTGAGAAAGAGTGTATCAAAATATTCAAACTCTAGACCTGACTAGTGCACCTTCTTCATACCACGACTTTACAGATTGTCATTATAAACAAACATTTGTTCCCTTCCTAGTTTAAAATCTCACCTTGAAATTTTTTTTTTTTCTTTGCTGGTTACAGACGTTTGCTGCTATAGAAGTTGCTTTAATCCTAGCCATTGGACAATGCTAACAGCAGCTAGCAGCTAACAACAGCCAACCACAAAAAATAGTCATGGTATATTTGGTCAATTTGTTGCACTTTGCATGCTTGTCTCATTTACACATAATCCTGTTGCCAAAATAAATAAGTCTCTACGTTTTTTTCAGAACTAGAACTTGTTTTAAATTCAGAACAAGCTGAAACGGATTATCTTGATAAAAATCGTAAATCGGAATTTAGTGTTATCGTGATAAACTTTTAATAATAATAATGTTTGAACCCCTAAAAAACTAACAGTCTGACTTCAATTTACTGTTGGCTCCAGATATTGATTAACATCAATACATTTGACAATATGATAAAGTACAATTGTGGTGCCACTTAGAGATACAGGAGCATTACTGAAGGTTACTGATATAATTTACTTAACAGGTAAGTTTTGTTTTCAAAAGCCTCATCTCGCCACTATGTGCCTCTTTTCAATGTTTAATTAAATAAAAGAGAGGTGTGTTAAAACAAAAAGACACAAATACGTAAGTAGCAAAACACCTAAAGTTGCTAAGGGGGAGTTACTATTGGGGACAGTGAAGTAAGGTAGGTGTAACATAGCAACATAATTGTTCTCTGTCATCAAGGTAGGAATACTACAATTGAGATTTCCAGTAGGATTTAAGCATTAATACTATTGTCAGGACACATGAGGAGGGATCATTTTTCCACTAACAAATCAAAATTTGGGGCCTTCCCTTTGTGTACCCAACAGCCTTCTCCTTTTGTCCGTTACCACACCTGAAAAAAAAAAAAAAAGTCGATAAAGTGATTCATCACCGTGGTCTTGTTGGGATGGCGGATTACAGAACTTGTTAAAAGACGGCATTAGTGGCGCAAGTTGAGGCAGGTATACGCCAACGACCTGCTAGCCGAGCCTGACGGACTCCGTATGGCAGAGGCAGAGAAGACCAGATTCACTAGCTACAAAGGTTTAGAATAATTAGAATGTGTCCATGACGATTAGCTGCGGTGAAAACACCGACGTGGAGGTGGGGTTTGGGGCTTACGAAGGAATGAGATGAGTGATTTATTAAGCACTGAATGCGAATGGCACCATCGTCCATTTAAGGATGACGTGTTCTTTTCGAGGTCTTACAAATTTAAGAAACACACGTTGCTGTATTTACTTTGATTTATGCTTTGTTTTCTTTGTTATGACACCAAACTGTTTGTGTCATCAATCTCCATCTGTGTTGGTTTAACTAAGCAGAAGAAACAACATGATAGTAATCTAAATAACTATGAAAGCACCATTACCAAAATGTATTAATGCATCTGCTGACAGATATTGCCAATGTGTCTCAACAGTTTTGAACACAGATTATGGCTATACCCAGCATCAACTCAGGTCAGTAGTAGCTATATGAGGCTAAAGAGAGAATCCATTGAAAGTCCATATGCGTTAATCCAGGGATGCACAATATATCGGCACCTACATTGTTATCGGCTGATATTAGTCATTTTTTATGGACCACAAAAATAAAACTGGGCCAATATGAACAACCGATATTTATTTTTATCCGTTTCTGATTGGGTTTTTATTTCAAAGGTGTCGAAATCGAATTATACATAATATCAGTAAATATCGGCCAAGACAAAAATATAAATATCGGATATTGATATCAGCCCAAATTTTGATATCGGTGCAGCCCTAGTTTTGTCTCATCATGTCATCAGAAACCAATTTTTAAAAAAATGTTTTAACACATTTTAATATCTTAACACAGGACCTGTGCAGAACGCACCATGTCAAAATCTGATGAGTTTGTTTGAGGAGCATTATTAAAAAAAAAAAAAAAAAAAAAAAAAAACTATTTTATAACATTTTTTTATTAGGCCAATGTCAGAAACCCTCACCCTGCCCGTATATGGAAAGTGATGTCATCATTGGGGGGCACATGCGTTGCTTGCACAATTTGAGTTGTGGAGAATGAATGAACTGCAAATTTGACTTAGTTGATGATTTGCATCATATTTAACTTTAATATGAAAGCTAAATAAAAATAAATTTGCATTTTGCCTCATCTCTTTTTGACTACATGAAAATGGGTATTCCATTTATTTCAATTAGGACTGCTGTCATTGTAATATCAGGCTGTGTAATATTACAAGTGAGGTACAATATTCGGTGCAATAATATAGTTATAATATATATTAATAATATATTAAGCATCATACATTCACAATCTGTACATCAATCATTTATTAAGTAAGCTGAATGCCTACATCTGACAGTGGCTGAGATGCTAAAGATGCTAAAGCGTGTTGGGAATAGAATCATCTAATTTAGTTTTTTGAATTTCCTTATCTCAGTCTAAGTACTGTATATCTTGTACTAAATAACAATATGAAGTTTAGACTATAAATCATACAATAGCACCAATATGAAGTTCATAGTCTAAACTTCATATTGGTGTGAAGCTGCAAAACAGATGCAAACTTTAGTATTTTTTGTTAGCCTGTTGTGGTATTCTCATAGAGCTTACAAAACGTTCCAATCTTTGCCATCATCTTTAATTTTTCTTTCGATTAACCAAAAATGTTGGATTAGTTTCTGCAGTCTAGTGTGTTTTGTAATGAAGTTGCGGTGAAACAGCAGCTGGATCCATCTTCGTACCATTACAGGGTTAGGTCAGGATACCATGAAGTGGATTACCTTGTCTGTCTGTGTGTGTGTGTGTGTGTGTGTGTGTGTGCGTGCGTGCGTGCGTGCGTGCGTGTGTGCATGTGAGTGTGTGTTTAGCTCAGTGACAAAGCATTTTCAGACACTGCTGACCTCAGACAAGATCATACTGGCTTTGTGTCATTAAATCGCCTTACAATTACACGCTGAGTCACTCTGCAGCAAATGTCATTACGATGAATTATATTAGTTTGCATGAACTGATCAGAGGAGGCTAAACTTGAACAAACAAAAAAAAACCCTACTAGAGGCAACACATATACAATAGCTGCAGCTACATATTCCTGTGTCAGAATGGTCTAGTTAAAGTCAGAAGCTTATGAAATTGAGAGTCTGAGACAAGACTTCAAAATTTGTGATGACAGATGATCTCTGTCCAGTGAGATTGAGATTGACACTTGAGAATTATGTGGCAGTTTGTGTTGAACTAGAACATGAAATCCCAATAAAAAACGTTAAAGATTAAACTTCAAATTATACAAATTACATAAACATGTTCAGCAGTCTATTTTGTGATGTTCCGAGAAGCTTGTTTGAGCACACAATCATACAATAGCATGCAAGAGTCACTGAAATAAGTTATTTTCACAAGCAAAATTGTCACAACCTTAAGCTAGTAAAAGGGTTTTTGCTCTTGAAGGTTGTCTTGTACTGATGAAATCAGGTTGCTTATTATAGATTATTTATTATCTAAGATGGAGAGAGAGAGAGAGAAAAAGAGAGAGAGAGAGAGGCCGGCTTGTAAATCGAGTTGGCTTGGCAAACAAGGCTCAGGGTCAAAGTCTGAATGCAAAATAACGAGAAAAGGCAAGCGAGGCGGGGGACGAGAAACATGAGAGGGAGCAGCTTTTGTCCTCTCTCTTCCACTCAGATCACATGACGTTGCAGCTCGTCTATTCCAATACAAACACAAGCATGTTTGAAGACAAACTCGCATTCGGTGAAGCCATGTCATTTCTTTATGTTAGTTTGTTTTATTTGTTTTTTTTTTTCACAGATAAGCAAAGGTAGGATTAGGTGAGTCTGCTGTCAGTGACAAGCAAATAAAGGGCAAAGGTCAGATGGGGGGGAGGGACCGCTAGTAGATCAAAACATAACCAAAAACACTGTAAGAATACACAATAGAAAAAGCCTGAAAGCAAAGAAACAGATCAAGTAGATCCAAGGTATTAAAAGTGAAGGTACTGCTGAGTAGTGTGATCTATTTGAGGCGATCAAAAGCACTGGGTGATCCTCCATCCTCACATTACAATCTAATCCGAGCACAAGAGACAACCTGTACGGGCCTAATCCCCCGGCACCTAAGATTTTCATTCATAAATCCACTCCACAGGCCAAAACTGAAAAGGAGTAGCTCCATATTAACATACACTAGGATCTTCATAATGCAGATAAGTTGTGATTTATGCTGCTAAATCTTAAATAAAGCACTCTGAATGGAATACAAATGGATCTAGAAGTGTAAATCCAGGTTAGCATGCAGTGTTTACATAGTGGGATGCTGCAGTAGGAATAGTACGGATCCTAGCAGGTGTGACAGATGAGCATCTCTCCAGAGGAGGGTCCTCTCCTCTGCATCCTTACCTCAGGGCAACCCGCACCGAGCTCTCGTCCGCTCCGCCGCTCATGGCGTCACCGAAACAGTCCGCCTTAAAAATAGCTCGCTTTCCCTTTTCGTCCTTTCTTTATCCTCTTACAAGACGGCCGAGCGTCCCCCTCCCCCCCTCTTGCCTCCTTTCAGCGAAGCGCGTCGGTCTGCAGCCTCCACGGCGGCCGCTCTCATTCAACCTGCCATTAGGCTCATTTCTATGCAGCTCCGCAGCGAAGTGTCTGCTCGGAACATGAGGCGGCACCGGGCAGAAAGGGAGCCGGCGGTGGTCAGTCCTCCAGCCGCATCGTCTCTCGCTGTCGCTCCAGCCGCGCGTGGTGAAGAGTGTGGAAGCGCGAGGAACCGCTTTGGCGTGTGATTCCACGAAGACTGAGGACGTAACAAGGCTCCTCCTCCCGAGCTGTACCAATCCTGACAAAGCACAACACCACATAATAATAATAATAATAATAATAATAATAATAATAATAAACTACTTGGTTGACACAAACACAAATACAGTTAGTTAGCATAGCTAGAACAATAAATTAAAACTGTGGGGACCCAAATTATCACAATTTAATAACTTTTTATTTTTTTACATTTTTAAATAAATATTTATAGCGGGGACATATTAAATGAAATCTGGGAATAGTTTAAATAATTAATCATTTGATCGTTTCGGTGATTTATAAAATGCATAATTTAATTTAGAAATAACTGAATTAAGCAACATGTAAAGTTGTTCTTTTACAGTTTTCTCAGTTTCATCGTCCACATAAATGTAAGTATTATTGACATGCCGAAGAGATCAACCAGTCAGATTTATTAGGTGAACAGTCCAGTAACTAAATACTAAAATATTTGCATATTATTTCGAAATATAATCAGTTCAAGTGTGAATTATGAATTACTTTGTTAATTTTTTAAATGATCAAAACGGTTAAATAAGTACATACCATTTCATGTGGCGACAATTGTATTTAAAGTATGTTATTTTATGTATGTTTGTGAAAATGATACACTAAATAATACATTTTTATTGACTTAATCTGTTTAATACAGTATTAAAAAAACTGATACATACATAAACATTTAAACTGTTATTTTATTTAATTTTGATACTTTATAGTGGAATTATTAAAACCTGTTGGACTACGCTGCCCTCTAGTGGTTGTGCACTAATACTGCAAGGATAAAACTGCGCCCATTTCGGTCAGCAGGTGGCTTGAGAGTATTTAGTCTTAGCGGCAGTGGCGCAAAAAGTGGGTATGCAATGTTTGCAACGCATAGGGGCGCTGCACTAGAGCGGGCGCCAAAACGGGATTTTTTTTTTCTATTCTGCATTTTCTGTATTTAACAACTGTTTGCACATGTATGAAATGATCAATAACAGAGGAACGGCACTGATTAGGCGCTCCTTCACCTCCCCTCCCAAACATGTTGCTTGGCTTGGGGACACGCATTTTCGAGAACGCACTCAGACGCATTTTCTTTCTTTTTTTACATTTTAATCGTCGTATATAGTGCACTAGACAACAGTGAGGTAAAGATGGAGCGGTAGAAAAAAACTATCAGGGGTACAATAAAACAGATAACGAAAGTATACTATATACTATATATAGTATGCTATGGTTATATATATATATATATATATATATATATATATATACAGAAACTTTTCTATATATCTTTTCTCTAGAGGTGTGGACTCTGTTGAAGCTTTAAACTTTACCCGATATCGCTAACATTTGCCCTGGGATGTACGGGGCAAATGCCAGTATCTTCAGAGATGTACTTCACTGAAGATACTGGCTGTTTGAGAATTTATTCAGTTAACAATTAAGTCCTTTAGTATTCAGTTCAGTTGAGTCGGATCAAAAATGCATAATGTTATATAACATTTAATCTCAGTATCTTGAAAAACTCAACGTGGATAAAAACTAGGAGGGCAAATAAATAGTTCATACCTGCGGCTTTTCCTGCATTTTCAATGTGCAGCAGCCATATTGACTTGGAAATTCTATGCTGATTTGGGCCTTCTTGTTTTTTACTTGAACGTGGACAACTTTGTACGGTACGGAGCCGTCTGGAGACACAGGAGAAAAAAAAACTTAATATCGAATGCCCACGACTTATTGTAATTTAGTCGCTCTCACAAAATAAATAAGTCGTTAGCTCTGCAATTTTGAACCCACCAACAGAACAGCATTATCGCAATGTAGCACTGTATACTTTTAGCCAGCAGGGGGCGTCAGAACTAATAGTTTCAGAACATCTCGCTCGTTTTCTAGCCGGAAATACGTTAAAGACTTATACAAAGAAGCCAGCAATCGAGACCAGTTTAGTATCAAGCTTTAGGATTTTTATTAGGGAAAAAAAACTGGGGCAGAGAGTCATCGTCATCTAAAACGTAAAATATTATTTAAAACAAATCTGAACATATCACAATCTAACAAATGGGCACAATCATATCAGGAAGAGGACACTCCATTTTCTATCCCATCCCTTCAACATGAAGATTATTTCTCCTTGTCTCACTTAAAAACAAACTGTAACGACCAAGCACCACTTAAAGCTGCCCTCATGCTCAAGTGTTACTAGGCAGACTCTGTGTCATTCAGCGGCTTGTGTGTCCTCTTGTCAACAAAGTCTGGGCTGGAAGCAGAAAATCCAGTTCATTTACAAACAAAAAAAAAAGAGAGAGAAAAAAAATCAATTTTACAAGGTGCTTCTTTCATTCCAAATGAATTCTTTATCTCTATGCATTTCATAGAATTACATGACCATTATTAAAAAAAAAATACTAGTAGTTCTTTACATTTTCAGTAGCCATTTTAATTTTATTAGGGAAAAAAGTCTACCAGAAATCTGAGAAACACCCTCACCCAACCGATCTAAAGCTCTCTTTAAAGTAGCGATTGAAAGTTTTGAGGTTGCTCCGTCCTGACATTATAGGAAACGTCATCACGTTGGGGTCAAATGCTTTAAGTCTTAAAAACAGCAGCACGTCTGTTTACATTCTGCCCACGGCGGTGTTGATTGTCAGTTTTACTACTCTGCCGCTATGGGCTCGGGCTGGTTGGAGATCCTGGAAAAGCCTCACAGTTTCACTGCAGCGATGTTTTCACACAGAATTTACAAACGGTAAAAGGTTTTGTTTTAAAAAAGGAAATGATGGGAAAAAAAAAAAAAAGAACCGTGTTTATTTAAAACCAAAAAGTGGTGGATCATTCCCACCACTGCAAAAAAATAAAAAATAAATAAAAAATCTGCAATCAATTGATTTTTTTTTTTTTTAAGATCTTTTTTAGGCAGCTGAATGTCTGAAAAATACTGTGTTGCTCAGCTGCAGTTTTGAAAACAATTGTATGATGAATTTCATAAAACAAATCAGTGGTTCTTTAAATGCTGTCATTACTTTAAACATCTACTTAAGGTATTAACAGGTTGTGCTGAGGTAAAAAAATTTTTTAGGATCACTTGAATATTCATATTCATAAGGCATAAGCTCCTGCTCCTGATTTGATTCATGCAGGACGTAGTGAGTGTGTACACAGGTTTGAACCCGATTAGGCCAAAAAAAAAAAAAAAAAAAACCCTGAAGAAGAAGGAAGGGGTTGAGTTTACGTCACAATTCGGTAGTTTCACAGTATCGCAACCTCCGATTTGATCAGAGTCGTCAAAACAAAACGACAGCGGAAAGGAAAAATCTAGAATGTCTAAACAATCCTCAAGTACAGCCTTTCCTCCGTAGACGCCGCAGAACGTGCCATCAACAGCTATTGGGAATGATAAAGTGCATTTAAAAAAAAAAAAAAGCACTTTGTATAATTGAGAATTAGGTTCAACCCGCTAAACGTTCGGAAAAAACTAGGTTTTTAAGAGGAGAAGCGTACCTTTGCCGAAAGAAGGCCATAAAAAGACCCCTAACAAACGGTCAGAGGAGACATCATTTGAACTTGAGTTTTGTTTGAGATCGGACAAAAACTGTAAACTACAGGCGCTCTCCCGTCGATACATCTCAGCGGACGTATGCGTTTGTGTCGACCGCAGAACCACAGCTGTTGTCGTAGTCACCGGCTTGACCAGGAGCAAAACGTCCGCGAGCGCTGAAGGACAACCAAGCATCTGCTCCGTCCCTGATCTTCTGCTCCCTTCGGCAGAAGGCAGACGATGCAAAATGCCAGAAAACGGTTTGAGAAAAGGTATGAAAAATAGAAGCGGAACTCTCGTTACGTTGAAATATTTTGCTGAGCTGGAGGTAAAAAAAACCCCCAACAAAAACAACAGAGCAACAGCCGTCTTTGCTGTCCCTTGCAATACTGCTGTGGATAAAACAAAACAAACAAAAAAAAAACGAATAACTGATGCCTGTATATCAGCATGAACAATTACAATACGTAGAGACGTCCCTCTAAAATGTAAAGTGCTATTAGATCACGAACCGAACAATCATTTTAGTTAATCTGGGGTCGTCGTTTCTGTTGCTTTTGCTTGTAACAACTGCTAAAACCCAACTTTTAAAAGTACGACTGAACATACAGTCGGTGTGTTGGAATAAAAGGGGGTGGAGACAGCAGGGCTCAAGTCTTTAGAAGCTCCCATTGGAGCAAAAAAAGAAAATAAAAGAAAAAATAAAAAGCTAATGGAAAACTGCTAGATTTTGCTTTCCTTCGTCGCCGTGGCCTCCACCTCCCTCCTCGGCTGTTTTGAGGACAGAGTCGTCTCCCAGGATCTTGCAGAGCTCGTTGAGGCGGTTTTGCATCTCGGGGATGCCGGCGAGTTGGGCCTCCAGCCGCTGCTTCTCCTCGGTGAGGGAGAGGCGGGTCGCCGAGTCCAGCTCCTCGAAACGCCAGCCGCCCTCGCCGTCGAACTGCAGCAGGTGGGTGTGGTACTTCCTGAAATGGAGAGCGATAGATCGAGCTGAATTGGCCGTCAAACAAGCGTCCAGCACAAGCAGTTAGGGGACAAACCGAGAACTGGCCACTCACAATATGTCAGCTGCCAAACTGTGATTTTATCTAATGATCGAATTTAGCAATTAATCAAATTTTGTTTTTTTAAGATTTAATATTTGGACACTGTTTTTTTTTTCCACCAATTTACTCCTTGGTTTTCTATTTTGTTCCTATTTGGATTTTGAATTCAGGTTAACTGTGCGACGATTAATCAAACCCAATGACTAATTGGATCAATCGATTAATCAAATTTTGGGGTTTGGAGACTTAATACTTGGAAAACATGGATTTTTTTTTTTCCACCAACACACTTCTTGGGTTTCCATAGTTCAGAGTGATGTCAGCACACCTAAAGCCCGCCATCTTGTTTCTATTTATGTTGTGGTAACACCAGAATAAAGTCGTGTGACAAAAAAGTTAAAATAAT